ACGGGCCGGGGGCGGTCAGACCTTCCCGAAAAGCTCTCCTGCGCGGGCCGCCCGGCCTTTTCTGTCCAGGGATCACATCCAGGCTTCGTCATTCCTCTTGGAAAAACGGCCGCAGCGTTGGATTTTTCCGTGACATCCTTCTCCCCCAGACGCGTGGGCGGGTTTTGTGTAGCGAGGACCTCCAAAAGCTTCTCTGGCATTCGTACGAGGAGGAGCAGCTCTGGGTCCGTATCCTGGGGAGGTAACTGCCTTCACGGCTGAAACTTGCTACCCTTGGGCTTGGGCTTCCCTGTTTGTGCCCAAGAAGTGAGACTACCTCAGCCTTCCGAGTGCCATCACGGTGTCCCCAGCCAGCTGTTTCTTCCCTGCCTTTCTGTTTAGTGCACAGTGTTGTCTGATCCTTGGGATTCGGGACACTGCTCCAGGGAAATCCCCCAATAGAGCAGCTCAGGTCGGTGACTCGGGATTTCTGAGTCTCATAAACAGATTCTTGTATCAGCTCAAGCTTGAATTTCCTGGACCTTTGTCACACAGATTTTTTAATTTTTTTTTTTTGTTAGGATAGATGAACTGGGCACACAGGCCATGGCAGTCTCTTGAGTTGCTTTGTGTTTTTCCCCAGGTTTGTCAGTGAAGGCAGCAATGGAAACGCAGAGCAGCAGCACTGAGAAGTTTTACAGGATCCCCAAAGGAAAGGGACCGCACTCGGTTGGATGTACAGACCTGATGACAGAAAATGCAGTTGAGGTAAAGCTCTCGGTTCTTCCTCCTTTGGATTTAAGCTACAGTGTTAGTGAAACGACGTGTTGTAGTTTTAGAGGTGAATCAAACAGAAGGTCTCATCCGTGTGCAGGGATGCTCCACGGCTGACACTGACAGCTGAGCTCTGGCCTCTCTCCATCCCAATGTAGGATGTGTATTGGGCACAGTGCAGGAAATATCAGGTGTCTCCAGGAACTGGTTCAATTTACCAGATAGATGTAACCTGCCTGCCTTCCCCATGGTTACTTCCTCCCTCCTCCTAATATCCTTTCTTACTGACTCCCCTACGCAGGATACTGCAGAGAAACTGTCCTTCTGGGACCCATGGGGTTCTTCCCATCCACCCCACCGCTCCCTTCTGCGCTGGGCTCCCAGGGAGACCCCACACGCAGTCTTCACGACTGCAGCTGTTCTCATCACAAAGATCCCAGGAGGATCACTGCAGTGTTTCAGCTGCAGGGTAAAGCATGAGATGTCTTCTCCAAGTTTTTATCTATCTGAAAAAGAGCAGGGTGTCAACTCTGCAAGTGGTCAGTACAGAGAGAAGCCATAATAAGAAGATGGGGACAGTAAATAGCCACCTAATGACCTCGCTTATGGGTTTCCATTTAAAATCCTTTTGCTTTTTAATTTTCTTATGAGAGTATGCCTGCATTTACACTGTGGTTTTACTCCTCAGACTAGCCAGCTGTTAGTGGAACTGTGATCAGTTTGTAGTGGTTATTCATATGTTTTCCTTTACTCTACTGAACTTACTTTGTGTTAGCACAAAGAAGTGATTAGTTTCTCTTTGCAATCAGCCCCTGTGTTTTTCTTAGATAAGCAATCTGTATAATTACAGTTCTCTGAGGCATAGGTAATGAACCTCTTTGCCTTTCTGTTAGTCACCTGGGGAAGTTCATTGGGACTGTTCTGTGATCAAATTAACATCATTACCAGTATGGCTGAAGGTTTGATGCTTTCTTCCTTAATGGCCTTTATGTCAAAGGTTGATTTAAGTTTGCTGAATAATTAGAAATAAGCCTCATTAAACAAGCTTTTGGTACACATTGTGTATGAAGCTGATAAATTTCTGTTCAAGAAACCAGACTTTATTCCAAAGCTCATGTTCTTTTTTGGCCCTAGACTTAACTTGTTAAAACAAGAGAACAGTTGGAGCAAGAGAGTGAATTTGAAGTGTGTCACAAATTCCCTTGCAAACCAGGAAGTAAGAATGCAAATTGCACACAATTCATCTGCTGGGAGGTTTGGTTTAAGGTGTGCCATTGGTACGGTGCTGCTGTCTGTGTAGGAAAAATACTGTCAGAGGGGCATGGAGGTTCCACATGAATGTGGAAAGCTTGGGTGGTTTCCTGGAAGCTGAACCACACTTCCAAAAAGCAGTCTCAGGGTAAAATTTATCTTGCTATCCCAGTGTAAAAAATATACTTCTAGGAGGGTCCTTTTTTCCCCCAGTTGAGCAAGCTGAATTGGGTCAGTAACACATCCATGAGACTCACCAGTGCAAAGAAAGCAATGACAGCTCCCAGCTGGAAGGGTGATGGGGACACAGTCACCCCTGTTAAACTGCTCAAACTGCATCATCATACCATTCCCTGAAGGGAAGCATAGTGAGGAAGACAGAAGAAAAGATCCATCAGGATGCAGAATTAAATAGAGCAAATAGGTAGTAAGTGTTTGTAATTATTAACTTACTTAATGGAGCATTCTGAATTAGCCATAGGCTAACCTAGAGAAGGTAACATATATCTGTGTCTGGATGCCAACAGTCATGCTACTTTAAATTAATTGCAGGGACAAAGAGATAGTGCCATTAGGATTGGCATCAAAGCCTATATAGTATAATAATTTTTTCATGAGATTCTCGCCCTTGACATAAATGTTTTTATCTTCTTTTTTCTCTGACATATATAAGTAAATATCAATCTTTTTTTTTTTTTTTTTTTTTTTTTTCCCCTCCTCATCCCAGGGAAGCTTCTTGCGCCTCTATTATCCATCAGGCGATGCCACACATAATGAAGAGGCACCATGGATTCCAGATAAAGAGTATTATCAGGGACTCTCTGACTTCCTCAATATGTACCGAGTTGTGGGAGAAAGGCTTTTCCAGTACTATGTTGGTAAGACTGCTTCTGGTTTTACCCCTTGACTTGTGCAAGGGCACGAACTCTGTATGCAGGTCATTGCCTCACTGCTGCGTGAGCAGTGTGTTATTGCTGCAGGACTGAAAAAAGTTTTTGCTGAAGAGGAATGTTTGTTTGGGATGGGTTTTTGTGGTGAGGCTCTGAACAGGAGTGTCTGGGCAGTCTGCTCTAGGAAGAGCTTGCGTAAGCTGCACCTGTGTGTTGGGATTAAAATCCCACAGGAAAATGTGCAACTATACAAAGGTCAGATAGATACTAAGGTCTGAATACCAAGACTTGGATGCCTGAGTACTCTTGAAAATCTGTTCTCGTAGGGTTTAAGAGATATGTGGGCCTTGTGCTAGGCTGTGGATAGGAGGAGGAGAAGGAAAGTATCTTCTGCCAAGCAGAAAGTATTTTTAGAATCAGATATGTATTCTGTATTTTAAGGAGGAGATTTGGTACCTTATGTTCAGATGACTGCTCTGAAATCAGTGGTCACCACGTTCTTAGGATCTCTCCCACAGGAAGAAAAACTTTCTCTCATTTCAGTAATAATGACATAGACTTTGATTTTTATCTAGGTTCAGTGACCTGTCCTGCAAAGCCAAATGCTGCTTTTAAGCTTGGAGAAAAATACCCACTTCTCATTTTTTCTCATGGACTTGGAGCTTTTCGGTAATTCTGCAGTTTGTTGACAAACTATTTTTGTTGTCTGTGGAGACAGCAGTCTCCAAGGATGTTTATGAACAGATTTTCAGTAGGGGGTGAGATCCCTGTGGAGCTAAAACAGATTTGAAGAACAGGCTGCTGTGTGTCAGTATGCCTCTAATGGAATTGACAGCAATGAATAAAAGCAGGGTTGATGTATTTATTTGTGTTTTCCCTTTGTATTTTAGAGGTGAGGATATTTACCAATCCATAAGCATGTTGTGAAGATTAGCTAGTTGATTTTTGGACAGCTTTTTACAGACACAAAGTGTCATATGTGCTACTATTTAAAAATCATTAGCATTTTTCCTTCTGAACAGATAGTAAAACAGTCACAAGGATTTGTGAACAGGCTTTGGTGCCTGGCATACAAAAGCCTGCTCTACTGGCTAGCAAATTCAAACTGAAGAAATACTGAATGGGGGCTAGTGCATGCATAGTGTGGTCAACGTTTAAAGAGCAGTGTAATTAAAATAATTACGTGTGCACGTGTCTCACCAGAGTGTGGTTTTGATTGCAGGACGATCTATTCTGCTATTTGCATAGAGATGGCTTCCCAGGGCTTTATAGTGGCTGCTGTGGAGCACAGGTGTGTATACTGCATGTTTTTGAGTTCTGATGGAAAGGAACTTTCTCACATTGAACAAAATGTTATTTTTTTCTAAAGAAGAATTTAAATTTTATTAAAAAAATACAAACGAACATATCTTCTTCAGCTCGTAACATACACCCCGTTTCTCTATCTCAACTCTTACCTACGCAAAGGGAATTTGCTTAGATAAGCCCTTGAATGAAAAGTCCCAGGGTAGATGTAGTTTGTCATTCTTCAGGAATGCTATTTTTCTCTCTTTTTTAGAATCTGGAGAATATAAAGGAGGTGGGAGTTCTGGTGGGGTTATTGCATTATTTGGAAAGCCTGACTGCACTCGGTTGTGATTGCAGCAGCACTGGTTGGTAGCTGAATCTCTTGAGATAAGTGAAGTCTAAAACTTCTGCTGACTTCATCTCAAACTAAAAGGAATACATCCTCAGAAATAACCTTTTGTTGATCTCACAGAGATGAATCTGCTTCAGCAACATATTATTGTAAAAAAAAGTCCATTTCTGAACCACAGGAGGAGTCTACGTCAAACATGGAGAAGGAGTGGATCTACTACAGAAAACTAAAAACCGGAGAGGAGGAACGTTGTCTGCGCCATAAGCAGGTACTCCTCCTAGCTCTGTGCTCTAGGAAGTGAGGCAGGAGTGGTGGCTTTAGGACTAACAGACTCCTTCCCTTTGGCCATGTCTGCAGTCCTCTGCCATGACTCAGGGGATATATAAAAAAATCATTAACTCCTATGTTCCTGAAGATGGGAAAGCCAACAACAGCTTTCTTCAGAGCATAAACTACTTCCTCAACTTTCTCATTAAGTTGTACTGTTGAGCTTAGTCAGCTGTTTCTCCTCTGGTTTTACTCAACTTTCTGTTTCTTCTCTGTGTCTTCACACTTTTGCTGCCCAGCCTGGTCTTTAAGTGACAAAGAGCTGAATTCAAATGTCTGTGAGGCCTCAGGCTTGCTTCAGTTTTTGTTTGCTGTTGGATAGCAAGGTGAATCGTGGCTGCTCTAAGGGGGATGGTTGCTTCATCATCATCAACACGCTTCAGCGTGGTTTATAGCAATGTAAACAATGCAGGCTTCCTGATTACAAGCTAGATGGGATGTGGCCATACTGACAAGCTCCTCCAAGGAGAGACTTGACCTTTCAAATGTCAGAGTATTTTCTTTCAGCTGATGCAAGCTCAGCCAGGGAGGTGTTTATCTCCCTGGGCCACACAGACAGCAGTGCAAGGGTCATTTCCTGTGTGCCTACAGCATCCTACTTACGAGTCTAAATAGTTAATGTCTGAGCTTGCAAATAACCTCCAGAAGCTGTTTCCTGCAAACTTCCCTAGTAGAGAGGTCAGGAGATTGAGATTTATTTGAAATTCGGTGATGCACAGACATCTCGCTGGCTGCCTACACACTGCGGTTCCCAAGGACACAACTGTTCTTTGGTTCTTTTTGAAGTTTTTGTTTTAATGATGTATCAAAGTCAAAAACACTTCCTATACAGGACAATGAAAACCTTTATTTGCAACAGCTTTACTACAGTTTTCAAGAATGTGTATATATACCAAATGTGACAGGCTCATTGGCTGTTTCTTATTTTGGGTTTATGCAGTGTAAAGACAGTTTCAAAGCTACTGTGCAGATGGGCCAAATGATGTCATGACATTTGCTCATCAAAGGGAGCACATGGAGCAGTGAGTCCGCATTCCTTATAGCTTTGTAACTTAAACATTTGCACAGCCCAGCAGCCCCTTCTCTGAGTAGTGAGAGGACGAAGGAGCTGAAGGACTTTGGTGCATGTTACAGGGATAAATTCCCCTGCACGCAGAAGATCTAAGTAGAACTTCAACTCTTTGGACCTCCCAAAGTCAGTTTGTTGGTCAAATCTCATTAGAGTTCTGTGTTACAGATCCATTCTGCAGTTCAGAATAGTCATTACCATATCAGACGGGGAAAAAAAAATCAGGCTAGGCTGGCAAGCCCAGCAGTTGTCTGACAATTCCTTCCACCGCTCTGCCCCAACTTCTCTTTCTCCCAGGTACAGCAAAGAGCGCAGGAGTGTATCAAAGCTCTCAATCTCATTCTTAAAATCAATTCAGGAGAGGAAGTAACGAATGTCCTACATTCAAACTTTGACTGGCATAGCCTAAAGGTGAGTGAAAGACAGTGACTGCATTTTGTTAAATCCCTAATAATGCTTCTGGTTTCCCTGTTCCATTTCTAAACTGGTTCCTGCAAACTAGTTTGAAGATCACACCATAGATCTATGAACATCCCAAGCTGGACAGATAGTTATGGAGCTGTAATGATGCTCTTCCCACTTCAATAGGATCTATTGCCTAAAAAATTATTCCTTTTAAAAAAAAAAAAGTTTGGGAAAGTCTCTTACAGCACCTGGATTTTTTTGACAGGATTCTGTTGATACTAGCAGAATAGCTGTGATGGGACACTCTTTTGGTGGTGCTACAGTTATTGAGAGTCTCAGCAAAGAAGTAAGATTCAGGTAAGTATGCAAAAAAAGGCAAGACTTGAGAGCTCTGGAGCAGGGAACTTTACCTAAGATCCCCCAACTACTAATTAGCTCTTGAAGAAAGGTTTTGTTTGGCATGTCCAGGCTTCTTTCAGCTGTGGGGATGTGGTGGAACATAATAGCTGTATCATATTATATCATGGTAGTGTGGGAACCTGCAGAAGCTCCTGTGCCCACCTGCACCTGGCAATGGAGACCGATAAATACAATAATAGATTAATTCTCTTCTCCAAGAATAGAAATAATTTTTAAACAAAATAATTCGTTAACCTGTTTAGCTGTTCAGTATCATAAGGAGTTTCTGTTTCTCAGGTCGCCTGCAAATCAAAGCATGCTGAGAACTTCCATACAAAGCTTTCTGCTTCCGTGACCATATCCCGTTGTTTTTGACAGGTGTGGCATTGCCCTCGATGCATGGATGCTTCCCGTAGGTGATGACATTTATCAAAACAGTGTCCAGCAACCACTGCTGTTTATCAACTCTGAAAAATTCCAGTGGGCTGAGAATATCTTAAAGATGAAGAAGCTCAGCTCCAATGACACAAACAAGAAAATGATCACTATCAAGTAAGTGTCTGGGATCCATCATTTCTGTGGTTGAAAATAAATCTTTATTCTCTTGTTGGAGCTGTTCAGTTACATGTAACTGCAGGAAGACAGGCAGTCACTACTTCCTCATGGCCCAGTTTTCACTGCATGTTTAAGTTAGGCAGCAGTGTGTCCCCCACAGTGGGGACAGAGACCTCTCTCAAAGCAGCCAGTAACCCTACCTACATTTAAGATACTCCAAGGTGTGCATTAAGTTTTGCTCTGGGCCTCATGCGTGTTTGAACACTTCAAGTAGCCTTCTGGGTCCAGTCATGCACTCACACATGCAGTGTGTTCAGGGGAGGGGACAGCTCTATAATCCACCCTATACTCAGAGCAGGGAGACAACTTTTAAGTTTTGCCAAGCCTACAAATTACAGTGACTTACACTAAGCACGTACAGAACTTCCTCCCTTCTGTGGTTAGGATAGAACTTAATCATCTCATGACCATGCAAGATTAGCAACTGTTTTTTATCTTCTTCTAAAGAAGATAGCATAAGATGTGTGACTGTCTTTGAAGAAGTCTGTGCAACCCGTAGCATCTTTTAATCAGATGACTGCATTCTTACAAGCCTATTGATCGTTGTTCTGTTTGCAGGGGGTCAGTACATCAGAGCTTTCCTGACTTTACCTTTGTGAGTGGAGAAATCATTGGAAGATTTTTCAAATTAAAAGGAGAAATAGATCCAAATGAAGCTATTGATATAAGCAATCATGCTTCATTAGCGTTCCTGCAGAAACATTTGGGTAAGTATCTGTTTATATCAAAGTATTAAATTAATACTTAATTCCTATGAAGCTTTTTATATAAGCATTCTGTTTAGAATTAAAGTGTCTCAGAAAAGTGTAAGTAGAAAAAACAAGTCAGACTCTTTTTCTAGAGGTTTGTTAGTTTTGTAATCTAAGCAATTCAGAGGAGGACCAGGGCAGTTCTGTTCTAATACATAAAAACTTGGACTCTAATATATAAAAACTTTTTCCCTCCTTAAAACATCATGCCTCCCCTACTTTGCCAACTTGATTCACCTGTCCTATAACTTAACTTTGCAGTGTAGCTTTACAAAAAAATGACTACTTAATTACCACTTGGGTTTTCTTTCCCCTGTTTTATAGGTCTTAAGAAAGATTTTGATAAGTGGGATTCTCTTGTGGATGGCATAGGACTGAATGTTATTCCTGGTACCAATATTAACTTATCTCCAGCTGAATCTGAATAAGGAATACAAAAGAAGTACTGGAAATGCCATGGACATCAGGACACTAATGTTGGCTAGATATTGCTCAGACACGTGATGGTGTTGGCCACCTACACAGCTTTTGGCTTGTGGAACAAAAAAACAGTAGGTTGCATTATCATGAAATTATAGAGAGGGTTTAGTTCAAAGGAGGCAGTGAAATTCTCGGAAATACTGCAATGGGGTAACTTCTGCTTTATAGACAGCTGGGGAAAAAAAAAAATCACTTGCTGGTAATGTAAATGTTCTTTCTGGTTTTGACTTAGAATCAAGTTTTCAGAAAGGGAGATTAAGCTCCAAGGAATTCAAACTAAAATTCTGCTTACCCTTTAAGTCAGTTTGCATCCAGCAAGCCTTTCAGCAGTGTAAGAAAAAAAATCTTTTAAGCTGTTATTAAACAACTTAGTATTTCAGCTGTGCTCTGACAACAGTTGAGAATCAGAGGTTTTTGCTGCTTCTAGTCAGAGGTGCCAGTGGAAGAAAGTCTTCACAACTGTCTTATTTTATTAAGAGTCAGAGTAAAAGCTATAGGAAATAATTTAAGATAACACAAGAGAAAGGTATTTGTTCGGACACAGACTTCTCCTATGAGCTTGATCCATTTACATCTAAGATATGTGCTTAGTGCCATGGTCAGAAGATGTTTCCATTCCAAAAGCTGCTGAAATGGTCACTCTTGTTGTAGCAACTGTAACTCCCCTGAGGTGCAAAGCTCCAATCAGTGCCTCTCTTGTTAATATCTGTATTACCACTATCAGTCATACTGTTGTAGGTGAATTACAGAAGAGATGTGACACTCCTACTCTTCCCTTTAAAAAGGAGTATGTAAGCACTGCTTGATCATCATCTTGTCTCTCGCAGTTGTAATACTTGACACTCATCTTTGTCCAGGCACTAGCATTGCTGTCTGTATCCAGCAGTAGAAGCAGATGACCCATGTGGCTGGCTAAAGGCCACTCTGATTTTTTAGAGCGAAACTCTTTGAAGCTGCCACATGGAAGGGTGACTTCTAAAAAAAAAAAAAGCCTTGCAAAAAGGGGGGCTTCTAATGGTAGTTATTTGTTTGAAAAATCTGGTTAGAAACAAAGCAACTGAAGCAAGCAGAACAAGCAAAGCAGTTAACAGTGTAATTAACTATTTATATAATCCGTGATCTTAACATGAGATTGCAATATCTAAGACTTGTTTTTCAGAATGTAATTAAATTCTCTCCAGCCTACCATCATGTACTGTCTCTATTACGGGAATCAACATCCAAGTGTTTCTCTTACTGAGTGAGCACCAACACTTAAGACCTACTGTGATATTCAGACTATTAGGAACAAAAGTTCTGACAATGTAAAACATTATCTCAGCATGAAAAATCCATAGCCTCTGAAGAGGAAGAACCTATGCTACAGAGGAGCATGGAATGGGACTGGAAACTAGAAACCCTTTTTCAACACATGAGGTAGAGAACAAAAGGTGAGATAAGCTGCAGCTGTTTTAAGGAGAAGTCCTTACCCCACTGTACCCATGCAGCAGCAAAACCATTCTACTAGGCCTGCTTCACTCACATTTATAAGAAAAACTTCATCTTTTAATTAGTGCAAATAAGGCCATGTCATAAAGTAGAAGTTCTGTTTTGAAACATTATGGAGTCATGTACAAAGCATTCATCACAGTTTGCAGTGTTCTAGGGGTCAAAACAGAACCAGTAACTGCAGAATGCACATAGCTATATCCAACTGAAGTAATGCAGTTAAAGAAAAATACTTGGTCTGTGCACAGCATTTGGGCTTATGCCTAGGGGAAGAACAAGTCATTAACAGAACACTGATCAGTACATGCTTTATTCCAGCTTCTTCCACTGCTTTAACACCACCACATGCAAGACTTCAACCCAAAACAGCTATGCTCCCCTAACAGAGAAAAAACTCCTCCTCCCACAAAAAGAAGAGAAGATACCCTCAACTTTTCTTAGAGGAAAAAAAACCCACCCACTTAACCATGCAACTTTTCAAAAAACAACCACCAGAAAGTAGTATTGTGCAACAACAGCAGGCTATACAGCAAGTTATGAGAAACCTTTGTTCAAGAACCACCCGGCAACAGCTAGATACAAGTTAATGCACACTCATAAGGAACACTAGTCAAGAGGCAAATTCTCATTTAAGTAAAAAATGTCAAGCTGTAAGAAGCTAAGCAGACAATAGTCTGCCAACAAGCACTACTCCTCGATAGGGAAGTATGGCAGTGACAGGCATTTGCTCAGTTAAGCAGAATAAACACTCAATGCTTTGCTTGTATTATTACTCCCATAAAAACACACTTTCATGGGAATGTTTGTGTACACAGGCACTTATTGAGCTTCTTGTGGTGAATGTATCACTTGGTTTCAGAAATGGAGGAAATCTTCAGCTAAATCTGAACTGCAGCCCATTTGCTTTTCTACAGGGAATAAAAACAGATTAGACCCATCAGGATGTTTCTATAGATAGTAATGCATTCATACATGTTTAAAGTCATAGCATTTACAAGGCTTCAGACTAAATGTCATCAACATATTGGACCATATTAAAAGACATATGCAAAGTTCTCATGTAAGGATAAGACAGTTGAAACAACAGAACTGCCCAAGAAGGTGAAGCAAGCAGCACTCACAGATTTCAGTGACAAGTTCAAGCTGCTCCATCCCTCAGTGGGCTTAGCATAAACCACTGCAAGAGTTTTTTGCATCCTGTCGATCAGATACCTTCTACTCAAACTGTCTTTCCAGGCAGTGGCCCATGTGTGCAGCAAGATCCAGCTCTGTGCTACACAGTTGTGTGACCTTAGCTCACATTTCCTGCACTGTTGCTGAGAGGGTCCATACACTAATACAAGTATTCAAGAACACAGACAATGGGCAAATTTGGACAATAATAATTAGCAACCAAAGAGGAAAACACTAAAATGAAGTGGTAAAAAACTGTAAAAATACTATCAAAACCAGAAACAGCAAGATCAATAATACTCCTGCTTTTGAGTGATGCAATTGAGGGAGGATTTGTAGATTCACTAGTTTAAAATTTTAATTAACTACTTTTTTTACCCAACAGGTAACTATATCTCTGGTGGAGGCTTCATTATTTGTTACCCATAAACCAATCAGCTTCCACTATAGTTGTACTGAAATACAATTCCCAATTCAATCATGAAAACACAAATGCTATCTCTAGTTAAGCTTAGTTCAGTCCCCATCAGGCAACCACTGGTCAAACCCAGGAACAAGTTGCCCAGAGAGGTTCTGGAGTCTGGCCTCAGGTAGATTCCAGACCTGAAAGGAAGGTCATAAGCAACCTGATCAAGTTGAGCCTTCTTTGAGCACCACCAAAGGTCCCTTTCAACCAGAACTGCTGTATGACTCCATAGACTATAGAAATTACATATAAACAGAAAGAACCTGTAGTATTTTCTTTGGTACACAGAATAGGTGCTCACCAGTAACACTTCAAATTTTTTTTAATTAACAATAAAGATGTACATGCACTGTTCACAAACTATCCTTACAGCAACTAAGATGGTCTATGAATCTAAGCCCATAGTAATACCAAGATCTATTAAGAGATTGGGGCATTCAAATCCCAAACTACAGTGCTTAGTAGAGTCTGCCTAGCAGTCACTCACCTTCCCTCAGAAATGCGAGCAAGAATAGCATGCTGGTAACTAATGCTCAAAACCCTACCAAAATATCTAATATCAGTGTACCACCCAAGTTTGTCCAACAGGCTCAATCCTCTAGATTGAAAAAATAAATACTAAATTGATTTTTAATTAAGACCAAGTAGCAGCTTTCATTGCATGTATTTACCAAGAAACTGGCAGCAATGCTACTAAAAAAATTACAACAATAGCATTAGAGTAAATACATAAGCTCAGAAAAGTGCTTCAACTGTATTTTCTGAAATAAAGCAATTTTTCTAGAAAATAGAAAGTATCCAAACACCAAGTACACCACCTCTTTCGGAGGTTTAAGGTAGTCTTACCTTGAAGTAAGGACTCCTCAGGTAAGGACTGCAAGTTTTCTGTTGCAAGGGTTTTTGCCTAAACAAAAGGAGATTCTGTTAGGAAGCTGGTACTATTGCCAAGATAGTATAGTATTAAAGGAAGCACCTCAATGGAAAACTAACTTTTTACATGACCACTGCTGGACTCTTACTTACTACTGTTTTCCTTCCCTTCTACCCACTTTCTGCTTTGATGCAACAACTGCATGTGAAGAATGACCTGGAAATTAATTCTGTTTTTATCATCAGTAGCATGGCTGATGACCTGAATTTTGGGTTGCAGGCATGAGTTTTTCATTTGCTGGTACTTCATGAAGAACACTGGTGAAAGCCTCACTATAATTTCCTAATTACTTGACAATAGAAGTATTTTTCATTATTTACTAGTTAGTTACATGCTCTACTAGCATGACCTGTCAAAAGCCACATGTCAGCATTATTCCACAGTTCTTGATTAACAGTAGTCTTCAGTAATTTTTCTTCCTTCAAGCTGTTTTCATTCATCCCCAGACTGAATTCAGTCTTCAGGCCAAATGGCTGACAGTTTATATAAATCTATATAAATAGTTTACATATATCAGTTATATAGTAGATTTATAAAAAAATATATTCTCTCCATAGAGATTATTAGAGAAGGATAATATGTCTTAAAGAAAAATACTGTGCTTCTAGTGGTTGGCATGAATGCTACTTGGCCTTTCTGTTCTCATGCTGACACAGGAAGAATAACAACTAAACTCAGAGTGCCCTTTCTAAAAATGAGTAGTGCCTTTGCCAGTCCACTACCACACCACCATACCTCAGAAGATCTGCAAGCCCCACCAGGAATACCGTTCCAGACATTCTCAGGATCCACAATCTCTTCCCTGCCAGTGGAGAGATTCAAGACCTGTACAGACAGAGCCAAATTGTATCTAACACACCAGTGGATACTGAGAATACACTCAGCAAATAAGACATAGTAGTAGGAAAACACAGCTGAGAACTCTCTGCCTTTGAGAAAGCTTTCAGTCTGGATCTTGCAAAGAAGAGCAAGTTCACCTCTACTAAAGCTGAGTATTGCCACTTAATCTGCTCAAGGCTCTCCTGGGC